AACAATTTTATTACTTATTATTGTTGTGTGGCAACATAAATACCAAAAGTCGTAGGTAGAGCGACGATGCCGTCCTTCCTGACCGTAGACAGAGAAACTTATAGACTAATGATCGGCGTGGCCTCGAGTGAGAAAGGACGATAACGAATTTTTAGGTTATACAATAATCTTTATGACTTTTAAACACATTTAGATAAAAAATTTAATTGTTCTAAGAACTGAACTGAACAAGATTCACCAATCTTAGGCTCACAAAACACTTTTTTCTCACTTAAACCAACTTGTAAACTCCTTAAATCGCTACGCTTTCAAAGTTGTTTAGCAAACTGTAGAGTTTGCTAAACAAAAAAAACCGGCACGGTGAAAGGGACAAACAATCACACCGCTCTATCTCATTTCTATGCAAGACGTATGCATAAATCTATCTTTTTCGTGTGTGAATGCGAAAGAACGTCAATTTGTCTATAGGTTTCTCTGTCTACGTTCCTGACCTTCACTTGACAAAAAAGCGTTGCCAAAATTCGTTCACTTGTTTGACTTGTTATAAAATACATTCTGATTTCGGTTGTTACGCGCTATGATTTGCGCGCGGAATTTCTTGTGTATTATACATATTTTGTATGCACGTTTTCATTGATTCGAATTGCAATATTTCTCTACTATATATTCGAGACCATATTGTAATTTATCGTAATTATATTAGGTATAATAATTAATTATTCTAAAAACGCAATTATGTTTCCGGTGGTATTAGAAACAGCAGGCTGGCCCGTGATTTTTCTGAAATATCGTCTCAATACTGATTACCTACGTCATACGTGTCCGTGTTTCATATATGAATGTGCTTGAATATGTTTTTGTTCAACAATAAATACAATTATTATAAATCAGTAAACTACCAAAGTAGTCACAAAATTAAACTTGCAAACATTTGCTAAATATGGTTTTGCCGGGTTATATTAAACACCTTATAGGCATATTGATTTCTTATATTTACGCGAACACTACACATTGAAATAATACTAGTTTTTACGGAATTTATCGCGTATATTTAACTTTTTAAATACCCGACGTTTCGAACGCTTTACAGCACTCATGGTCACGGGCGGGACTGACATGTTCAACGTCCATATGTCATAGTTAACCGCGGTTACCATAGATTAAAATTTAACTTTTGTTCCAATCTATACAGTATGAACTTTTGGTATCTTGAAGTCTTGCAGTTGTATGCTTGGGTTGGGATTTAATTTTATTTATTATAGGATCCCAAGCAGATGGTAGCCTCCAGCCATCTTCTCTATTGAAATCAGGATGTTTTTTGATTTCAATAGCCTCGCGAATCATCCTTGGAAGGAATCGGTGTTCTTTAGCGAGGATTTGTGGTCTATCAAATCTGATGTAGTGACGGAGGTGATCCTGTACGTGTTCACAGACTGCAGACTTCCCGGAGCGTCGATTCTTCACATCAGCTATATATTCTTTAACGCGGGTTTTTATTGATCTTTTAGTTTGTCCTATGTAGGAGAGACCACATTCACAATCAAGCTTGTACACTTCTGCATCTTGCAGAGGGACATTACACTTCAGCGGCTTGGAAGTTTATTTTAATGGAAGCGCGCTTCAAGATGTAGCCAATCTTGTCAGTGACTCCTCTAACATATGGCAGTACAGCAGGTACACGCTCGACTGTGGCCGGCTTCACTCGTTCACTGTGACGTAGACGCGGGACTCGAAGTTTGTTGTCATGCAAAACTTGCTTGACATGGTGGAGCTCGGCAGCCAGGTGTTTACTGTCACAGATCCCTCGTGCTCTCTGAAACAAAGATTTACCCAAGGTAGCTAACTGTGAAGGATGTGACCATGAAGGAGGTGACCATCTAGTGTTCAAGCCTCGTAAACGTAGGGATACGTCTGTGTGTGTAAAAGACACTATATTCAATAGCAGATGTTATAATCAAGCTTTGTGTGGAACTGTGTTGATTTTGAGGCAATGATATGACCCATTCCAATAAAATGTATTATCCGATAACCGCAAAGTCTACTCCTACGACTTAATAATTTTCTAATTACACAAAAATCCAAATAAACTAAAAATATTTACTTCAGCGCCATCTTGTGGGAGAATTATTGGGCGCAGTCCGTAGGTTTCACCTTAAATAACTTTATAATGGCAAATAAGGCAAAATGTCATTACTTTTGTATTTTACGTTAGATGGCACTGTCTTGAAAAAGTGAATACAACAATAATATCGTAGATTGTCGGCGTAGTTCAATTTATTACACAATAGTTAAAAGTAAATTTAGGCTTTATTTATGAATATTTTTTAATAAAAGACATCAATCGTATAAAATAGAAATTAACATCCAAAGGAAGGAAAATACTTTATCAAGGAGGGTTTTGAAGTTCCGTAATCGGATAAAAAGTAGCATATAAGTAGCCCTGGGTCCCTAACTACCTCTACACAAAATTTCATTGAAATCTGTTCAGTAGTTTTGGCGTGAATCTTTAATACACAGGCAGACAAACGGACAAAAATTCTAAAAACCACTAATTTGGCTTCAGTGCCCTTTAAATAGTCCCCTGGGCTTGTTTTTCCCAGAAAATATTAGAATTACAGACATGACTTTTCTACAGATTTATTATATGTAAAGATTAGATTATAGGTAGATGCATTTAGATGTATTCATAATTTCCAGTGGGTGGTATTAAAAATGAAAAAAGAGATATGAATAACACATCTATTTTGGCGGTTCCCAGGGGGGTGAAACTTCAATACAAATCTAATGCACCCTATTACACCACCCGGAATCAGGGCCCTGAGTGAAGTGTGGGCGAGGCCCCTTGTTAGGGACGTCAGTTATTACACTACCCTAATTTTACGCCATTACTCAGTCATAGGGATGAACAAGTGAAAAAGTATATATAATTATATATCGATATATTAAAAGTACTTGTAACAAATAATTAACTGTGTTTCGTCCTGATAACTCTAGTTGCGTAACTCGAGTTTAGTTCGAGTTGTGTAAATTTGAACTTGAGTTAACTCTAGTCTCAATTTTTCCAAGTAATCCTACTTGGAAAAATTAGAGAGCAACAGCGCTCATTAAAAACATCGAAGCTTACGTATTATATATCGATTTTTTCGATGTTTTTTTCATCATTTAAATATATAAATTTTTAACCTTTACCTACATATGGAATAAATAATTATTTTGAAGAGAAATGAAAGAAAGAAGTATAATAATCAAACATTATATTTATGTTATTTTAGGAAATTTTACACTATTTATTTTTACACATTTAATTTTATCGAATAGTTATCAGAAAACAAGAGCTAATTAAATATTACTATATTATATATCAATCACGGGATACCGAAGTTGCCACGATAGGCAAATAGATCTTATCGAGGCTATGAAACCCGGGAAATAACCTTTTCATGATATCCCAGTCCCAGTTTTATTTCTTATGATGTGGTACGTTAATTTTTTATAGTAGTTCCATATGTTACCTTCAGTATTATCGTATTTTCTGAATACCTACACCTACGAAACTATACCGAAATACCAACAGGTAAATAACCGTTCATCCATAAAAAATAGTATTTCAGAAAAATGATTGTAAAGAAATACGAAGTACCGTAAGCCGATAAATAATTTCCATTGCAAAATAACTATTAACTTATAAATATATATGACTGTACATAAGTTATTCATTAAGTAATTATTAATAAGAAAATGAATAAAACAATTTCAATCCATTTTCAATATTTGTAAACTCATCTTAATTAAATCGCAATATAAACTACAATTTTACATCGCAAATGGAATTACCGTTAGAAGAAAATTATACTTCAGAAGTTCAAGTATTCCACCATTTACCATTCGCCTGTTTGTTGATTCGTAATTAAAATTTTCAGGATTGAGTTATTTCTGCTAAATACTCTTAAACCTAACTTTAAAAATTTAGATGTTATCTAACTTTGACATATTTTGTTTCGAATATTTATGTTTTGGCAACATAAAATTAGTGATAATCATCGTTCGCAACTTTTAACGTACGGAATTTTATACCTTCGAATATAGTTGGTTATTTCGTAACCTTTGACGGCAAAACATCGTTTATAAAACATAGCTCATGCAGAACCATGTTTATGAACGATATATCGATGTTTGAAAGAATTGATGTACCGTTTGCATCCCTAGCCGCGCATCGAATAAGTGCCCTAACTCCCTTATTGTTATTACACTGCACGGCAGAAGGGCACTGCAGACCGGGTCCACTTTGACGCCCTAATTAGGGACCCTGATTCAGGGTTGTGTAATAGGGGTATAACACTGAATCACTGAAATTTTGTGTGACGCCTGAGCGCCATCTTTAAGACACCGTCATGCAACTTAAGTAAAAGTTTTAAACCAAATTCTAATAGATGGCAGTGTTAAAAGGATTGAGTGGCCATATAGAGAACGTGGTAGAATTGAAAGAATTATATTAATTGTTTTGTTTTGGTTAACATTATTGCAAACTTTACAGTAAAAGCATAAATAAGAATATAATAAACTAAGAAACTACTTCCCTTCTGTTATTAAAGCCTTTTTGGTAGTGGTTATTTAAATGTTTTAAGGTAATTAAATAATTTGTAATTCTAGTTATGGCAACTTTTTACATTGCAGGCCGGTAGAAAAGTTTTGAATTTTTTCTAACTACTACTTTTGTAGTTTGTGTTTCTTACTTTCTAACACAGAGTACTTTTTTATATATAGGAAGTAGGAACTTTCTGATGTAAGTTTGCGTCATGAAGATTGTATTAGTGAATTACTTTATTTTAACTACTTGGTATTATTTACGGACTCTGGATTTTTGTACAGCATTTATATACTCGGCACCCATTACGGACTTTGGATTTTCTACTACTACGCACGGCATTGGCATGCAATATTCATTACGGATTTTGGTTTTTCCTTTAATTTATACGACTGTTTCTACATTGGAATACGCAATGCCTACGAAATTGTGTTATTTTGGCTGTAAGCTAGATGGTATTTGCGTAAATGAATATATATATTATTTAGGAACATAACAAATCCATATTGTTTTTATTTTCAGTACCTATGCATCGTTTTCCAAAACCTGGCTATTATAACGAAGCTAGATTTAATATGTGGTTGGCAATATTATGTGAGGAAACCAAACTCTGAGGAAATTCATATATATTAAGAAATATCCACACATGTGACAGGCATTTCGAACAAAAGTTTCGCACTGTTGGAAGAAGGCTTACTGCTAACATTTTATAAGTATATAACCTAAATATGTAAGCTTCCATAAAACTGAAAGTATTCTGAACATTCATACATAAACTAAACCAGAAAAAATTATGCCTGAATTTATTGCAAACTTTAACTTAATTCTCTTTAGTATAGAATTCATATGTATTAAAATTATATTTCTGCTCATCAATATAGAACTTTGGATAGTAAAAACTCCGAAACTGCAAGTTCTACTGAAGGTAAATATTTAAATATAAGAATTAAAACCATGCCTTATTCATGATGATATCTGGGGTTGGTTTATTCTTAGGGTTGCACCCAGGGAGTACAAAATTTAATTATACATATGCTTATACAATATAATTTTGATTTTAGGAATGGTTGCAACTGGATCATCAATGATGAATATTCAAACTGTAATTTCACATACTACCAAAGGAATTTTTTTTTCATTTAAAGCTTGTTATATATATACTGATACTGATAGCTATACACTGATAGTGCCTGGTCCTGGTTATGTGCAGTGTTCTTGATTATACCCCCCTTTTCCCGAGCCACATATTTCCCACACAATATGGAGATGTGTTTTCTTCTAATGCTCATGGGCACATACTTTAATGGAATTGCTACTAAGTGGCACTATTCTGATCTTGAATGTTTCAATTAATGAGTTTTTAACCCAAAATTGCATGACTAATCTTTTTTTTATATGATAAGGTTGACAAATGAGCACACAGTCAACCTGATGGTAAGTAGATGCTGTGGCCCATAAATATCTACATTTGATTAAGAATGAAAATGCAGATGCATTGTCACCCCTGAGGACGAAGATGGAATGCCTCGAGGTAGTGCACCAACGAGATCCCAGTAAAATGGGTCTCCGGTTCTCTACACTTACCATATGAAACACAGCAGCATTAAGTTGCTATTTTACGCTGGTTTTCTGTGAGAGCATATTCCTTCTCCGGTCCAGCCGACTGCTAATATAACTGCAGCGTGGCTCTACCACGTAAAAAATGATGTCATGTACACTTGTTATTGATATACATATCAGAGAGTATAGAAATGTGTATGTTTTCGTTATGTCATATGCGTAATGTAAGTGTACTTGTTAAATAAAATAATAAAAAATTTAATTAATAACAGCATTTGTCGATTAATAATTTTGGCATCTTACTCAAGCATAATGATACACTATATTTTTTCAGAAACTTTACCAAAGGCCTCTACTTCAAAGGAAGCATATCAAATTGGAAAACAGTCTAAACCTCAAAAACAAAGAGGTAAGTTAAAATCGTATCAAGTAATATGTATTATTTAGTTAGTACGTCTGCTAAATATAAATTGGCTGTATTGTCAAATATCATTTTATAATAACATAAATAAATTAGATTAGAACATATTGTGTTTGTTGAAGCGAGTTCCACCTCAGTGTCTGGTTCTTTTTCTATTTTTGATGCTTATATACAGTGACCTATTACTAAATGAAACTGGGCTCCAAACTAGTGTCCCAGCCAAAAAAGTTTCAAAATGCAAAAATAAGTTTTGTCGAGCAACTTAATATGTGTCCAAAATGCCATACTGTATTGTGAAAACATGCAAAAACTATTTATATTTATTTTCCATAAGAACTACTAATATTTAATCATTTAAAAGTAATATTATGCATAGATATGTACATAGTATTTAATTTAAATTCATATTAATTGTAAAACAAATAACCATACTGATAATTTTCACTAGAATCTTCATAAGGTGAAAATAGTGCAGCCTCTAGTCGAAATCAATAGGCTGATAAATTGTCACAAGAAAAATTGAGTAGTTTTATAACGACAATATGGTTTGAACTAGGATGTTATAGTATTTTATATTTCTATATGTGTGCCTACACTTAATATCAGTTAACTGGGACACATTTTTCGTGAATTTTGTTCTATTCATTTTGTGGTAGGGCAATGCTTAAATTTAATTTAATAGTTTTTATTTCAATAAACTGTACAATTAAATAAAATAATGTCCTAATTTAAAATAGTCTACTATAACAGGCACCTGAACTAGGATAAACATGTATCTCAAGTGTATGTGCTAATAGAAACATTAACAAAAATTTGTTTCTTATATAAAATGAATAACATACTAACTAATAAGGGTTATTTCGGTAAAATATATTAATCATTAATTAACTTAACTAACTTAAAATCGGCAACTTTTCCATATCATCATATTATGACAAATTTTGTAACCATGTTTGAAGTACATTTTTACAATCTGCCATTTTTAATGGATTTATTCAAATTTGCATTGACTTGATTATACAAAAAAGACCAAGGGAATATAAAAAAAATCTATTGCATTCCATTAGGTTGAACTCCATACTTCATCATGATACATAAAGTGAAATACTGGATTTTATTATAGCAGATTATTAACTATTGAAGTGAGAAACATGGAATTTGCATAGTAGAAGCTGCAAAAAACATTTTTAGCATAAACTCCCACTAGGAAAGATTTTTGAATGGAATAGGGAGTATGATTGTGCCTGAGAGTCTCATCATTTTTTAAAGCAAGAAATGTAGTTTGATTTGATGAAGGCTTTTGTTTAGAAATACTGAACATGGTAGAGCCACGCTGCAGCTATATTAATAGTTGTAGCACGAATTTGTCAGCTCAACCTGTGTCTGACCATGTTACAATAATAGTGTGAAATAGCAGCTTTATGCTGCTGTGTTTCGTATAGTGACTGAGCTGGAGAGTTTTACTGTGAACAAGGCATTTCATCTTAGTCCTCAGGGGTGAAAACGCATCTGCATTTTGATTCCAAATTGAAGATAAATGTAGATGTTTATGTACTACCACAGTATCTTCGTCCCATCAGGTGGACTGTGTGCTTGTTTGCTACCCTTTTTCTCTAAAAAATCTACTACTGTCTGAGCTAAACCACAGGCAATAGTATAACTTATAAAAGGCAATTGAATGACTGACAGTTTTTTGTATATCTTGTAACAGAAAAATATATTTCTATTCTGTTTGCTTTCAGCTGGAAGTAAGAAGAAAGTCTTTTACATAAAGATTAAAAAATTTAAGACATGCCAACAATTTAAAACGAGGCTGTTGAAATTACAAAATAAGTGCAAAGATGTTAAAAAGTCCTACCATGTAGCGGAGATGGTAAGCAGAAATGAAAGCTTAATAAACATAATTGATAAGCTGCCTAAAACTATCGACTTTTATGAAACTTCAATTGAAATTTCTACAGAAACCAAAAGGCAGAAAGTTACTCCAAAAGAGAAAATTTTTGCATTATCAATATTAAAACAAAGTTTTAGGGCTTACAGCTTTTTAACCAAAATTTTGGTACTACCATTCAAATGTACTCTACAGAAAATCCTTAAAATATATTGATTGAACCAGCCATTGAATCGACGTCTATCGTGTGTATAGTTGCCTCGCATAGACTGCCAAAAAATGATACCAGCTTCAATCGAGTCCGACAACAGACTAGCGCAGTGTTGCCAACATTAAAATCTAGCTCCCGTTGTAGAGAACACTAATCGCGTCAAATCCCGTCAAGTACGGTAAACAAGAGTCTAATCATTCATTTCTAGTGACAGAATCATTCTAGTACATTTCGTCACGCGTACTGATACATTCAGATCGATCATTCAAATGGATCATTTCGGACTCCAGTACTCTGTTGAGTCTGTGAGATCTATTGGGAACCGAACATTTTCTATTTGAGATTTGTAATAGTGCCATCCACTACAGGCTATAGGTAATAAAGCCATTTTATCGAACTAAAACTTATTGACTTTCAATCAAGGATATCACAGGTTCACAGGATATGCGACTCAAACAGTAAAGAGAGAGAATGAAATAAATAGAACACACACAAATCGGTTTCCGAGCTGTATTTAAAAGAATTACGTCAAATGAAAATTTACTCTCTCAACTTTTTAAAGATAAGAATGTATTGTACATTTTTTTTTGTATTTTTAACTAAAAAAAAATGAATAAAATTATAATTTAATTTTTGCCATTCCCAAATTATTTTTGTTTCTCAAACTGTTCTGTTTTTCAAAAACAAATCTAATAAAACATAAATTTTTGTTGTCCTGTTAAAAAATCCGTCAGCCGTTACAACAACTTTTTCCCATTGACAACCTTGCTGTCCCGTCAAATCTAACGGTAAACCCGTCAAGTTGGCTACACTGGTTGCCAGATGCCTTGAACCTTTTATCTATATTAGAAACTCCTAAAATCTGCAATAAATCTGTATGCCATTTTAACTTAAAATCTATATAATAAAAAAAAATAGAATTATTGGTCATCATCATCATTGCTTCTTTTAAAAAACTAGGGATAAGTACTAACGTTATAAGGTTTGATTATCTTTATTAAATAATTTTTTTTATATAACAAAATTGAAAACATTAATTTAATCAAACAATATATTAAAACTCAAACATTTGCAACAAACGAACTAATAATAACTTTATTATTTTCGGTCATACATATTTTTGTTAAATTTCAACAGTAATTTATTATCAACCTCTAGGCTATAGCAAGGTTTTGCAACAATCAGTTCCTTTGTATGTAAAATATCTTCAATAGTATCTGTTTTAAGTCTATTGCGTTGTTTTGTCTTTATTAAATTTATTGATGAGAAGATATTCTCTACGGCAGCACTGGAATGAGGTAGACTTAAGATTGCATAAACAAATTTCGACAGCGTAAAATATAATTGACTGCTGTAGTTAGCAGGATTACTACTACATCAGGCTGCAGCGACTTTACACCAGTAGATTTCGAGATCTTCTGATTCATCAGGCGCTAAATCTTTATTATTATGCAAAAACCGCCACTCTCTGTGTTTCTCGCAGTTCATCAACAGATCAAATTTGGAAACTTTACTGCCAAAGTGACCAATGAATCAATTCTACGAGACTTAACAGCTTGTGTGTGAAGAAACTGCATTTGTTTAAACACATCATTGTTGAAATCGTAACTTTTTCTACCTGATTTGCCCCTTCAATAAAAAAAGTCAAGGCATTTAAGTTTGAATGCTTCAATATCTTCTTGGTAGAGACAACGGAGGCTGTAACCTTTGCTGCTAGGTAAAGGTCATCTATTGATTTGTAATGACGTGGATTGTCAATCTGAATTAAACCGACTTTATTTTGCGAAACGTATGCATCGTCCATGTAACATTCCAGTAAAGTTTTAAAAACAGTCGCCATGTTTTCATGCATTTTATGAATTTGTGGCTGCTCTGACTGCACCAGCTTATTCAATTATTAAATATCTCTAAAGAAAACTACAAACACTATTAGCTTACTACGAGTATATGGATTTTTTAATCAGAACAATATCTAATCAGCATTCAAGTGGTCCATAAGAGCGGTTACAGTGATATAATTTTAGTGCGCCATACTGTTCTAGAATGTGGAAAACTGCTTCTCTCGGCGAAAGCCATCGAGTTTGAGCTGGATGGAGGATTTTATGAGGCTTTAGATCTAAGAACTGCTGAAACTCTTAGAATTCCAGTTCTTTTGGAGCTGTTATGAAAATAATTATAAATGTCTTGTATGAGAGTTTCGGGCTCTCTAGACAATTTTAAACAGGCATACGATGCACAGAGATGGAAAGAGTGGCATACACACTTCATTACTAGCAGGTGAAGGTTTTCGGCAACTAGACGGGATGATAATGAGTTGTGCTGTCCCATCATGGCATTCGCACCATCAGCGGCAAATCCGATAAGATTTTCCATTGGGATTTTATTGTTACTCAAAACTTTTTTAATATGTTGTTATAGCTTTTTAGCAGTAGCCATGTAGTACAGACAAGGGGTATGAGACAAAGATATGCATCCTCAACTTTCCTTAATGTAAACCTTTCCTTCCTAATATGCATAAATTCTTAACACATCTGTGCTTTCATCGACGATTAAAGAAAATTTAAGTTTTCGTAACTATATTGTCATTTGTTTTGCAGTTATGCCAGTCCCTTTTTTTTACAATAGCTGTAGTTTTTTTTTTCTGTCACAACCAATACATTTTGCGATTTGTGAATTGGAACACATGTTTTTTATTAATTGTGGCAAGTGTTCCATAACGTTAATGGGAATATTATATTCAGCTATAATAAAAGCTGCGAGCAAAATTTTCCCTCTTGATTGGTTCAATATTCTTGTTTGAAAATAAATCTGTCATTAATGTTTGCGCGCTAGATCCACCAGGACTTGAATTTACGTGTTCGTTTGTTTTCGTGTAACATTCCTCCCAGCACTTCCAATTGAAAGACCTGTGTTACAAAATGTAGCTACGAAAAGCAAAGTAATCACCTTTATTACTAGGTCTTAACCATACCTTACAGGATGAATCTTCCATCCAATTCCGATTAAACTTTTGCATCACTCTGGGTTTTTAGATGCCTTAATGGTTCACAAAATCACAATCAATATTAATATTTAATAAAAGTTTGTATCTATGATTTTAAATATTTACGTATTACCTACGCACACACGACACGACGAATGCGAGAGCGAAGTACCTTGGACAGCGCGCAAAAAATCTTTTGGGGATTTCCCGAGCAGAGCGAGTGACACTTTTAATGCTGCCATACTAACTAATTACGTTGTGAAAAAATTAATTAACCATAAAGAATAGAATCGTGCAATGATACGTGTAACGCGGTATCTAATCATATAGCTTTCTTCATTCTGTTTTAAGTTGAATATTATGGTAGTTTAATCAATAGAATTAGAAAACTCCGTATAAAAATCTGTATCCAGTGCTAATCTGTAGTACCACAGTATAATAAAAACAATTTATAGACTGTGGTATTACACACCGAAAATCTATATAAATACGGAGAAATCTCTATATATGGCAACATTGGACTAGCGTTAACAGAGGCGCCGACACCAGATTAAAATACGACTCCCGACACTTAACAAGTGGGAGCTAGCTCTTACCTACGTTGTATTGTTGTGAAGTACTGGCTTATAATAAGTACAAAAAATGAAACGACGGTCAGTTTTGATGTTCATTCACGATTTACATGGTTACCTATTGAAGACTGCGGCTCAATTGTAACCAGGAAGCTAGAGGAAAGCAACATGCCTGTAGGATATGCAATAGTAATTAAAACACTCCATCACACACACATCTAGCGATCTATTGTGAAAGGAGGAGTTCTACAAGCAAGAAGACAGTGTAGCGATGGGCTTACCAGTACTCGTATCTCCCATAGTCGCCTACATATTTATAGAGGACTTCAAGGAGAAAGCTCTTCTTACTGTTCCTGTAAATCCAAGATTCTACAAGCGGTTTGTAAATGACGCTTCAAATTTTTTTACTATCTGACAAAGAAACTGCATTTTTAGACCACCTTAACTCTAAAATACAATGCAGTTGCTAGTAATTTAGATTTCCTAGATATTTCCATGTGTGTATATAAAGTTTTAAAAAATAAATAATGTTTTAGTCATCCGAAACCCTAATACCCACCCCCTGAGACCCATAACAACCGATATTTAAAAGTTGAATCTCACCATAATCCATTGCAGTTAGCTACCATGGGAAAAATCTTTGTTTCAGAGTGCACAAAGGATCTGTGACAGAAAACATGGCTGACGAGCTTCAGCACGTCAAGCAAGTATTGCACGACAACTGACTTCGGGTCCCGCGCCTACGTCACAGTGACCGAGTGAAGCCAGCCACGGTTGAGCGTGTGTCTACCATATGTCGGAGGAGTCACAGATGCGGTTGACTACATCTTAAAACGAGTTTCCATTAAAGTCTACTACGAGCCGCCGAAGAAGATTAGTCAATATTTACCATCCGACAAGTGCAATATTCCTCTACAAGATGCATGAGTGTACAAGCTTGATTGTGAATGTTTTTTCCCTTTAGGAGTTTCCCGTTTTTTCCATTAAGAGAGACCTCTTAATGTAAAAAACGGAAAGATCTATAAAAACCCGCGTGAAAAAACATATAGGTGACGTGAAGCACCGACGGTCCGGGAAGTCTGTAGTCTATGAACACTGTGTTTTTAAGATCGTCCCCGCTTTTACATTAGAATTTGATAGACCACAAATCCTCGCAAAAGAGCACCGATGCCTAAAAATGATGTTTCTCGAGGCTATAGAAATTAAAAACCTCTTAATTTCAAAAGAGAAGATTGATGTGGGCTGTCATTTGCTTGGGATCCTAAAATTATAAATTTAAGTCCCAAGCATACCACAGCAAGATACTGAGCTAGTTTTGCATGGATCGGACCAAAATTGAATATCCGAAAACCGAAGATAGTAAGGCTATGACGGACGTCATAGCCTTACTACCATAACTTTACTATCGGGACGTCACACATCTCAGTTCTACCGTGAGCATGGGTGCTGTAAAGCACCCGAAACGTTAGAAATAAAAATATGTAAATTAAAGGCGGTATAATCTGTAAAAATAGGTTCATTCAATGTGTAAATTCCCGTAGATATAAGTAATCGTTATAAAATAATAGCTTCTGGAGTAGTTGCCCGGCAAATACACACTTCAGCAGCTGGTTTATTTTTTTGAACTCCTTTTATTTAAATGTTTTATCATCATGATTATTGAAGCCTATCAACATTGTACTGTTAAACATAGGCCCACCTCATAACAACTTATATTAGTTAAAATAATATTATATAAACAATTAATGTTTCCATTTTAAGACGCTCAAATTTTGTTGCACGTTAGTATTTGATTTTAGTTAGAATAATATTATACATGAATTTAGTTGCTGGGGTCGATGGGATGTCGCCATTTACCATCAGGTGGGTTGTAAGTTTTTGTAACTTCAGTTTTATAAAATTAAAAAAAACATAACCTTTAAGTATATAATACGTCTGTCGATGTGGTAACAAGAGTTAAGATAAATTAAATTTATTACGTAGAAAAACCTAGTTCTTGTTTTAAAAAGATCTATTTCAGAAAAGTTCTCAAAGTCTGCTACGACAAAATGTTAACGCACCTACAAACTTTAGTAATTATAGAAGTTACCGTCGAAAATGGTGCGTTTGTGGTGACAACGGTAAACTTTTCAAATTAATATACTTCAGTTAGTTTACGAAGTCAATTGTAGCGTTCAATTTAAAAAAAAATACTTACAACTTTTGGTATTAATTTTTGGTAGAATACAATTATAACGTATTAAATTGTATCGTCGAACATTGTTTTATAAGATGGGATTTTTCATTTAAAATCGGAAAAAGCACTAAAATATTTTTAACCAAAAGAAATATATCATACAGTTTCTACTGTATGATATATGTGATCCTACAGATGCTATTATGTTAAACCATAATATCCAATATCCAAAAAGTTTGTTCCAGTGCTTATATTTGTTATTACACATCGACTGCTATGTTTGCCTACTGTTCGTAAGAGCAACTGTTGGTCGTGAGGCGCCGTGTTCAAACCTTGCAATTTGTATAAAAAAAATTTCAGTAGCGGCATGAATTCAGAAATTTGGCGGTATTTCACCCTGTGCCTTGGAAAGCACGTCACAATAAGAAACATTTGATTTTATTGATATTAGGCAGGCTGTTTGACAAAAGGATAGCATATTCCTTGCGAATTTAGCGGGACGATATTTTATATCTAATTCAAACCTCTACGGTTATACTAAAATCTATAGGAAGCTTTATAATCTCGGGCTTTCTCTAAGGCGACTATTGGGATAAATTTGGGTTTTAATTTCTCTTATGCCGCCCCCAAATTTATGATTGAGATTACTTCTCAATCTTTGGAATATTTAATACTGATAATACTTTAGAAATGATGAAGAAAAATAGCTTATTGACATATATCGATATTTCAAAAAACCACTAGTAAATCCTGGAAGCAGTAGAAATCCGGCAAATCCGTCGGCGTTTGTGGATATCTGAGCAAGATCAATTGACATGTCATCAATAACCGGACGTCATTCGAGCGTAAGCGATTAACATTGTGTTGGCGTTGCGTGCTTGGTATATTGATCAATAATAAAGCAATAATATATCTGTGGTTCATATTACGGACTTACAATATATCGTCAGTGAAGTTCTAACAGTACGAAAGTCAAATATGGCTACTTTACAGGAGAGTGAAAAAACTGTATGAAATCGATGTAACTTACGCATAAAACCATATTGTGTTTAATTATTAATACAAATGAACTCTGTGATGATTTGAACTCGTGAAAATCGCGAGAATCTTTTCCATTGAAGTAATTTGGTGAATTTCGCAGTGTTGCCAGTAGTTCTCACTGACTTACGTCATGTTTCATCTAATTAATATAGATAAAGGAGATAAAATGGAGAAGGGAAATGATAAAATTGTTTAACAAAATGGTGTTAAAAGTTTATTTTATAAAAAAAGAAAAAAAATTATAATTTGTATTATAAAAAATGTTTTGCTTAAAACGAATCAACTTCTTATCTATAATCAGACTTTTATAAGATCAATAGGGTAGGGAATCATAGTACCCGTGACAGTCAGAAGGAATAAGTCTTTAACTCCTGTAAATGTTTCCATTTAGTTACTGATATTTTAATGCGACTTTGGTAGAGTTTTGGTCTAGGGGGTAAAGTTTCGGGCATTACTACTCTTCGTCGAATTCTGCGTGGCAGATCTTGATAATCCTCCTCAAAGTTCAATTTATATTTGATGACTCCACTTGGATTATACTGCAGTGCTCGCATGTCCGTTACTGTAGGATCATTGACGGAGCGACCAGGCCGTATGGAGTCATACATAAACGAATTCTTGTCTGAGAAGTCGTCGAAAAAACTGTAGTCTAAATATTCAACTAAATAAGGTTTTTGCGGTCGAGCTTGTTTTGATAACGTCGCAAATTGACTTGGTAGAAATATCTCCTGTTTTTTTTAATTTTTGCTCGATGGAAATCCAACATCTTATAGTCGACTCTTTCAAACCCAGAGTGTTCAAAAAAGTCTTCAGACAAACTTGGGTACGTCCCTCTGATGTACTGAGAAAGTACTTTTTACTCTCTCTTCTACGAGAATTAGATTTTACTTTTACTTGCTTTTTTTCACAAACGGAGACGTGATATACAACGTACTGTTTCCGTTGCTCCCAAGTCATGCTTTTCCAGAACTTGCCAAAAATGTTCTCTCTTTCGATGTCAGACAAGCTAAAACAGCCACGTAACTTAGACTTCGAGCAAAATGTGGAAGTGCAACGTGAACCAATTGAACGTGCTGGACGTGGCACATCAAGAAGTACATTAAATTTCTCTTGCCCTGAAACTTTCCTGTCCCTACGGTACCCCACATATTCTTCACCTTGCATACGCTTCAGTTTTGTTGTGTTTTTATTCCATTTTTTAGGTTGTGCGAATCACTTCGATTTCCTTTTTCTATTAGAATTTATATCTTCGATCTCACTGTCAGACGGTAGTTGCTCCAATAGCGACGGTGAATTTCCGGCAGTCGTGGAAAGCGGCTGTACTTCTTCATTTAAACAGGTAGATGGAACTGAAGGTAAGAATGTCTCTTCAATGTCATTTTCAGGTGGTTGTGTCGCTTCTAATGGCGGTGAAACCTCAACAGACGAAGACAAAGGCTGCAATTCTTCTCTTGGCTGCAAATGTACTACGGTAACCTGTTCAGACGAAAGAGGTATGGTATCCTGAATGTTTTGAGTGCTCAATAGACCCAGCAAAGGCGGAGATGGAGGCTCGGAAACTATTTCTATTGGTAAGTTATTAATATCGATATTTTCTAAGTCAGTCAATGTTACCGGTAATATCTTCTGTTTTTTTGTTGGTACTTGTATCTTTAAGTCGCTGCAAAGAATCAACATGTCATCATCAAGTTCTTCGCTATCACTTAATAGAAAATCCATCTTGTATTTCTATGCAATCACCTTGAAAAAAAGAGAAAAAAGTAGGTAAATATAATGGAAACACAACGTAACTCAGAAAATAATCGTAATAATAAATAAACACACTTGTTTTAGCAGTTAAACCGTGACCAAATAACATTAAATCGATATTATTAGGAATAAAACATCAAGATAAATTGCAAATAATACCTTCGAAATCACAAGATCGGAACACTTGATGCACGACGAGTTTGTACGTGAATAGCTGACATACGCAATGTTGCCACCACCAACTGAGATACGCAATGTAACTATTTTTCAAATAACGCGTTGGTATTTGTCAGGAATCGTGTTTTGATTGGTCGACACGATGCGCGCCACAATGCACATGTCAAAACACTCACAAAATGACTTACGCACTGTTAGAACTTCACTGACGATATGTTCTCATACAGGTATAATTATAGCATTGCGTCATCTTTCGCCTGGGTTAGTTCTTTTATCTTGCTTTTTTTCTTTATTTATTAAGGGGTTTTTCCATGTCAATTACATTGGAACAAACTGCATATCTATTCAACTATGAATCTGGGTGGGGTGGTCTATTATGGTGGTCTATTATGTAGAAACCCTGTGCAAATGGTACTTGTTAAATTGCAGAGTTAATGTCAGCCTTGTAGTATATGCGTAAAAAAGTGTATCTGTTTATTCCTGTGGGCGTCGTAACAGACATGCAATAAGGAAGGATTCATGACCTCTGATAGATAGCTAGATCTTCTTCTTCTGTGTTAGCCTATCTACTACCGGATATGGGACTCTCCCGTTGTGAGGAGGACGAGAGAATTAATCGGCACGCTTGGCGATTGATACGGCACGATTCACGACCACAATACCACATTTTCGATGCTACTGCGTGTCGCCGGTCTATGTAAATTTTTCTGGAATGCGATCCCCACTATACGAAAAAGGGTAATGGATTCTCTTACGCAGCCACCATACGGTCATAGCGATATACTAACCATCTTGTATATTATCATCATTACAGACAAACAAAGTCCACTGTTGAATGTAAGCCTCTTCCACAGATGGCTTCTTTGGGAAGGGGGAGATATTTACTATAGCTGCCACGTTTGGTACGTACATACTAGATATAAAAAAATAATTGAGACTTCAAAATTAGCAGTTATAGCAAATCCCACGTGCTGTGGGACACGCAGCAATCCTAAAAAGTTCTTGTTGTGATTTTTTGATTTGTCTTGCATTTGGAATCGAAAGAAAGAAGGGGAAAAAACATAATATCTGTTCTTAGCCACAAGATAACTCTGCAAATGAAATTCAACAAAATAAAATAATAAAAGCTTCTCACAGTTATATTGAGGTAAAGCAACTCAAAAACGACTGCATATTTATGTTTAGGATCCAAATCACCGCAACACCGGTATTGGCGCTATAAGTCATAGTGTTGAAAAATTCACAAATCGGAGGCAGCTTTAAATAAGTTTAAACAGAATTAAGTATTTTGACTTTGATTTTTAACATTCGCGATATTTCGTATAGAGTTAGGACTTAAGAATAAGTATATTTCTATAATATCAAAATATTTCGTGTTACATGCATTTTGAAAAGCCATTTGTCTATAGTTTAAATAAGTTCTTTCATAATTGTTAAACCCATCTGGTACGAGTTTCCTGGCGTCATGAATTGTTTTATTTTATCCGTTCGTATGTAACCAAAGTTTTATCTCGAAAATAGCGAAATTCGGACCTTACAAGTACGCAGATGAGAATGTCAAAACTTTGGGTAATTAACGAAGTTTAATCCCTAAATGACTAGTAGTCAGAAATGTTATACAAAATTTTGAGTATCAGTTTTTAACGAGAAATTTTTTCGACAAAAATTGTAGCTATAGACTACAGCTATATTTTTTTTCGGTTTGACCGGAGAAGGGACACGACATACCACCACGAATATAACACTAGTATATATAATAACGGCGTATAGCGGCTATGCTTCGTATGGTGAGTGGAGAGCACCGGAGACTTTATTTTTTCATCCATTCCATCTAAGACCTCAGGGGTGAAAGGGGTCAGCGCATCAGCCTTTTGATTCTTAATTTATTACAGATATAGGAGACATGGGGCCACAGTAACCTCTTACATTCAGGTGGACTGTTTGCTTGGATGTCACCCTAGTCTTAAACAAAATATTTTATAGCTAATTGAAGATTCAACAATTATACTTATATATACCTAGTTACATTTCTTTAATAGGTAAAATTGTCTGTTCCAAGTTTCAAGCCCTGTGGAATATTTACTGTAAATTCTAAAAAGTAGCACCGGTGTACAATTTACTGCCATTTGAATGTTTTTTAAATTTTTGTTTTATTTTTTAAGTCAGTGTCACATCATAATTGTAAAAGATATTCTTACCATAGATTGATTTCTTGCCTACCACCATACTTTTTAATCATTGATATAAGGTCCTACCCAATATAACATTCCATACCATGACCGTAAAAAAGTATATTATGCAAAAAATATATAAGTTAACTCTGGCCCAACGCGACCTAGCCTGTACCAGGTCACCGACCAACATCTCCGTTCACTGTCCATACTATTAATGTCATGACCGGACCGACAGTAATTGTACGACAAAATTATTGGCTGGATCCGTGCATGGCACATGACTACCGAATCGCTCTGTGCGGACAAACGCGTTGCAACTGCGTGTACTGCGTTACGCGTAATATCTGTTCCGGTGCATGTTGACGGACATCATATGTCCTCAAAATATTATATTCCTCAGATATGTAGACTTACTGTTGATGCTTCTCTTGGTGGTGTTTTCCTACACCGCCCAGCTGGAAAAAATCAGCAGTTAAAATTGCAATTAACAATTATCAATTCCGGCGAATATCGAACCCGTGTTGCTTGCTTACTGTTTTTATATGTAGAAGGGTGACAACGAGCACACAGTCCACCTGATGATAAGTGAATGCTGAGGTCCGTAGACATCTACATCTATCCCCAATAAAGAATCAAATTGCAGATGCGTTGTCACTCCTGATAACTAAGATGGAATGCCTCGTTTCCACCAAAGGGCTCTCTGGTTCTGTAGACTACTCACCCAACGAAACACGCTGATATTTTACGCCGGTATTCTTTGTATTTGCACGTGATAGAGCCATGCTGCAGTTATATTATTAGTATAGTTGTAGCACGAATGGGGTCGGCTCGACCGGAAGCCGCTCTCACAGAATACCAGCGTGAAATAGTAGCTTAATGCTGCTGTATTTCGTATGGTGAGTGTAGAGAACCGGAGACCCTTTTTACTGGAAACGAGGCATTCCATCTCAGTCCTCACGGGTGACAACGCATCTGCATTTTGATTTTTAATGGAGGATAGATGTAGACGTCTATGGGCCGCAGCAACCACTTACCATCAGGTGGACTGTGTGCTCGTTTGAAACCCTATTCTATAAAAAAAGCATAAATAGGTTTTTTTTTAATAGTTAAACCAACAGAGCGCTGACAGGCAGACGAGTCAATGATTTAAAAGGTGCTATTAATCCGCACTTAGTCTTACTTTTTTTTAAATCTTTTAGTGATTTTTCAATACTTATAGGGTTTCCGCACTTTGATATTTTTCTATTTGATACATCCTTTATTAACCATTGCTTCCATTAAAGTATGAAACTAATATTTAGTGAATTGTGTTTCCAAAACTTAGTCAATTTTTATATTACTCTTAAGCTAAATTTTATTTCTTTTTTATCATCAGCACCATTACAGCCTATCTAAATCCACTGGTGAAGAGATCTATGAGTCTCCCACATAAATTGTCTCATAGATATTTGTCATAGTTGCTTTGTTGCACTGCCGATGTTGTCGTGTGTCGTACAAGGAACTTTGCTTTATCCTGATCGTAATCGTTCCTCGAGAGCATTTTTTGATAGGATAACGATGATGATATTAAGTGATTGCAGTGGCCCATATACATTTACATTTATCCACGATTACGAATCAAAATGCAGATGCGTTGTCACACGTGAGGGCTAAGATAGAATGCCTCGTTTTCAGTAGAAAGGGTATCTTTTATAATAGATGACAACTTCACTTACACCGGCAAGTCTGCGATTTATACTACTGCTGAGGTACCCAGAGGTCGGCCATACGGAGGGCTAGCTGTACTTTGGAGAAAAGCTGCGTTCTCGTGTGTATCAATAGTGGCACAGTGATCGTTTAATAGTTATTAAAATTGAACTACGTGATCACGCAGTATTATTAATTTCAGTGTATATGCCTACTGATTCAACGGATAATTTAGCAGATTTAGGGCGCGTCTGGTCGAAATAAATGCAATTATTGAAAGCAGCAGCGTTGATGCAGTGTTTGTTTTGGGTGACTTTGACGACAACCCAGGTGAGAGTTTTTCGAAGTAATTGTGTAATTTTATCAAATCAAAAATCAAATTTAATTATACGATTACGGATTAGAAGATACGTATTGTTTACTAGGTAGTACTTCGTACTCACACAGAGAATGCTTGTCGTAATCGTCACTCTTAGCAGGCAGATTGACTGTCGCAGTAGCAGACGTCTCGCACCTGTGCCGTTGATGTCCGTCACCGCTGATATTTTACATGCAGCATGTAAGCGAGATCACACCGCCATATATCGGGAACCATAAGAACTTTCTCGACCTCCTCTTATGGCCTATTAGCTCAAACGTCCTTGACACATTTTAACTTTCTAAACATGCAAGTTTCTTCACAAGGAAAAATAATTCCTGAAACCTTTAAGTCGAAACTTAAAATTGCAATTACTGGACTTCACTTTTTCATTGGTCTAGTGGTCGTCAACGCGGCTGCAGGTCATGAGGTTCCAGGTTCGAATCCCAGGTCGGGCTGACATCAGTTGTTGGGTTTTTTTGTCAATAAAATCTCAGTAGCACCTGTAGTCAGGAAGTAAGAGGTGTTTCACCCCCGTGCCTGGAAACCACGTAAAACCTGCGCCTGATCTCTCA